CAGTTACCATGACCAGTCATCCAATGAACGGTCACCAGTGGTAATACCCGATAACTATACATCTAAAAAAAGAAATTCAACGTTCTAACATGGTGTACATAGCTGCGTATATAACTGCACCAGTCGTGTGCATAAAAGTACATTCGACTATGCAGCTTGATTTTTTCCAGATAAGATAAATATAAGATTCAATCATGATTTCTGGATCCAGTTCCAATTTCGAACCAGAACTAAAAGCCCAGATTTTCCCAAGTTATTTCAAATCTTTCAAAAAAAATCCTCAACGAAAAACTGTCCCTAGGATTCATAATCAGTTAGATAACTAAGAGATTTTACCTCTTTTGAATAAAATTATTCGCTATATGCTGAAAAACTGCTTGTGAGATTCATAATCAACAAGGTGAACTGTTGTTTCCCAAAGAAAAACCAAATAAAACAAATCTTGCACACACTCAACTTGTATAACCACTCTTAAAAGGGATGTACTGACATCATACCTATAAATATTTAGGCATTGTTGTTGCTTTCCTGCTTGAACCATTTGTTCAGCTAAGTCATGTAGCAGAGGCAAAACCCTTGGAGGAATAAGAGTTGGAGGCTTGTATACAGCCGTCTCTAAGCTTTTGATCTGGTCGTCTGATTGATTGGTATTTGATGGACTTTTACCACCTTCATTTTCAGGCGATGGACGGAGAGAGTTAGGAAGGCAATCAAAGAGGTGATCAGGCTCCACCGGCTTGCTGAAACCAAAGAGAGAAAGAAAAAACAAATTATTGAAGAAACTACAGTAGTCATGATATATAGTGAATAGTGATACAATGAAGTTTCTCCAATAAAGATAGAATCCTACTAGTTTTTTCTTAACCGAACAGAGTACTTAGTTACAATACCAGGTAATGTAACAAGGAAGAAATTATTTAAAAGATCATCCGCGCTCTATAGCTTTGGGCACTTACAAAGTAAAGAAGACCAAAGTTCAAAAAACTGACATAAGACCGTATGGAAACTTGGATAAGCAATGTTTGAACTTCTTATGTAAATGGGTACATCTCTTTCTCATTCAATTTTTTTGTTGAATATTGGAAAATGATAAGGAGGTTGAAATATGATCTTTTCGAGACCACTATGATGACGATTCGCTGTGGACATGGTTAGGTCACTAATGTCAGATCATACGTCATTACATGTATCAGTTCATAAGGGATGACAACAAATGACAGTTGCATAAGCATCCCATAACTTTTCAAAGGGGTTAGGCTGTATATTATTTAAGTCATTTTCTAAAATCCATGAGTAAAAGATATGGCATTTCTGTAAATTACATGTACACTTCTAGAATAGACTGTTCTATATGTCATGCTATTCAGGCTACAGGTTTAGGCAATTGTAAACATCAGAACAAAAAATGAATAGCTGAAATGGGAAAACTGAGAAGGATGAACAGCAAAAACTGCTAAAAGATAATGATTGGTATGTAACATCTCAACATGAACATCCCAACATGAATGAATTGATTACTCCGGAGTTCATTGTAAACATTAATTTCGTGTGCATAAGATGAAAGTAATCATATCTCAACAACAAACTATAGTGTGTTTGAATTGAAGCAATTAAAAAACCCCAGAGAATTTGAATGCCGCATATGTAAATGAAGATAGAGTAAGTGCGAGCTAGACCAATAGTGCTCATGGGATCTCCTCCAATTTTAGCCAACAAGTGTGACCACTAGGGTGCAAACAGATCAGATACGGTTCGGATATTGTAAAACCCCATGAATTTGAAAAATAGTGTGAATTATATTAATAAATGAGCTCTAATTATGATGAATATCATTTATAGATGAATGATTATGCTAACAATTGATTTGAGATCAATTAATAGTATATATGAGTATACAAAGGTTAAACATGCACAAAGAAGAAATCTGGAAAAATGACCAGTTAAGAGTATATTTGCATTACACACCGATACAGTTCGAATCTGGAAAAACTCAAAAGACAAAAATTGTAGGTATCTTCAATAGCTTTCCAACGCATCTTAAATCACCTTATTCCGAGATCGGACGTGAAAGTTACAACCAAAATACCGAAGACTATTTTCTCAGTCTGACTGGGTTTCCTGTTTCGGGTTTGGGCTGTTTTGATTCGGGTTTGTAGTTATATATATACATGTTTACACACGAAAAATACATATTTCCATCAGTACTCCAAACCCTAGCAGCCCCTCTTCCTCTCTCTCAAACCCTAATCATAATTTGTGAGATTTGAGAGAGTTCTTGAGGCATTTGTCGAGAGGAATGCGGGATTTTGCGACTTTTGTGAAGAGTGATCTTACACGCACGTGTTCAGGAGTTCAACACGACGTTTGAGGCAAGATCATCTTTCTCTAAACTTTTCCCTGTAGTTAATTCATGAATTAAGATGTTTAATTGATGAATCTCATGTTAAAGCTTAACTCGATATTTTAAAATCTTAGTTTATGATGTTAATCTTTAAACTAATGTGAAAATCTGTAGATTTAGTTGTTGTTTAAATTAGTTGATGATCATGATCATTAGGGTTGTATTTAATTTTGTTTTAAATTAATTAATCATGCTTAAATCATGTTTAAATCCTAGTTTAACAATTAATTGAGTTTTCTTGTTAATTTAATATTTAAGATGTATAAACCCTAGATTTGTGATATCTAAGTGATGTGAACGTGTTTAAATTATTTTATACCTGTTCAATGATCAGGTCCAATCATGCTTAGTTAATCATGTTGATAATTTATGTTTTATTTGAAAAATTTTGGTTAATTGAGATGCTAAATCCTAACTAGATTAATTCAAGAGTTTAAATCATGTTGAGTTAATTCCTGTTAAGCAAATATGAAAGTTTAAATCTTGTTATATGCCTCATGTTAATAAAATTAAGTTTTTGAATAAAGTTACAAAAATACAAATGCCAGAACCTGATCTGTGAAGATCTTCTCTGGTCGGTCGACCGACCAAGGCTAGCCGGTCGACCGGTGAGATCCTGTGAGTGCACTTTGTGCACGTTTACGTTCGGTCGACCGACGCCCTAGGGACGGTCGACCGACCTATGTTCTCTTTTGTTTGAAGTGTTATTTTTTACACCTTTTATTTTCGAATGCGAGGTTCGAGGTGCACGATGATACACGTATAATCATGAGTATACACGTATAGTGTCGTAGCACGCACATGAGTATCCCAAAGAGAACTAATACAATTATTGTTTCGATTACACAGGAGATATGAGTTATTTAAATATTATATACTTGTATGGATATCGTTGATGAGCACCGCTCAGTTTTACTTGGGATAGTGTGTCAATATACCATTAGCACATGCCATTGAGTCGGATTTTAGGATGCTTGATCTAGTAGTCCGTCCCGCACGTAGATGCGATGAGGCTTGTAAGCCTTATACCTAGAATGCCTGATTTGGTAGTCCGTCCCGCACGTTAATGCGATGAGACTAATGAGCCGTGTACACTTTTAGGATGCCGATTTGGTAGTCCGTCTCGCATGATAATGCGATGAATTATAAACTTTACAAGTATTTGTATTGTGATAATTATCTGATAGCCTGAGTCTTGGTGGACGATATTTATGAACATGACTCATCGTTGAGTTATATATGACCAATGTACTTTACTCTTGTAAGTACGCGAGATTATATGCAGTTGTTTACATTATCTTTCAAAGAATAGTGGAAAATATTTTTGATCCGATATTGTGATAATTTTACTTTATTGTATTGCTATTCTTTATTCTTAGTTGGGATTGATGATTAGCGATTCACAATTTGAGACATTTGGTATATACATGAGGGATTCCTTATTTGGATTATTTTGCTCGACGTACCAATCTCGTGTTGTGAGTTTTTAATTATTAATTCTATTTATATTATTTATTCTTAGTCCGGTATTGATATCTAGTTATCTACAATTTGAGACATATGGTATATACATGAGGGTTTTCTTATTTAGATTATTTCGCTCAATGTATCACGTCTCGTGTTGTAGATTTCTAAATATTAATTCAATTTAGATACATGGTAAATGATCTAGATAGACTATGCTTAATAGATAGAGCCTGCATCATATCTAGTAGACCTTCCTCTGAGGATGGATGGAGATGATCTTGCTGTAGCGCTCTGACGCTCTTGTTGTTTCTCTTTTTATTTTTCAATTTTTTTCAGACAGCAGCTCAGAGTTCTGGAGAGCCGCAGGATGACGAACTTCCAGTATAGTCGTCATCACATGTTTTTAGTAAATGAGACTCCACTATAGTTGATATTTTTTCGGACATTTAGAATTTTGTATTTCATCTTGTAAACATTGTGTGCCTTAGTTTATTTTCAGTTGACTCATATTGAGATAATTCACATTTATTTCAGACTTCAGTTGTTTTTAGTTTATTCAGTTGAGACATAATTATATATATTAGATATCTCTTTCTACATCATGTTTATTGCATTTATTTCTCCTATTTTGCCTGTTTTGTACATGCACTTATATTTAATTCCACTAGAGATATTATTGTGATGGTAAAACGTATTGTTGTACAGTATGGGTGCATGACAGGTTTGACATCTCTGGGTTCACCTTAGACTGCAGCCATGTGTGAAAATAAGGACATCACAAATATGACACTTACCATATCCATATCTCCTTTCTAAATACAGATACGGTTTTCCTTTGATAAGAAAAAGTCATAACAATATCCGTCAAAATCGAAAACGGCTACAATTCAGATATTGGAGAGACGGATATTGTATGGTTGCGGATATGAATCAGATACTTAGCAAATGGGTATCCCTTGAATATAAGAGAAGATCCATATATTAATTGCTCTAATTTGCACCAAAGAGATAAAACATGACTTAAAAGTGTAATATATTGCCTGCTATCAATTTTAAAAGTAATGTGCGCATAATATCTAATACAACCAAGATAATTCCATTCTAAAATGGTCATAATCCAAATATAATTCAAAGGCAAAGTTTTCTTAATCATCAATAATAAAATAAATTAAATTATAGTATAATGTAAATTTGACCATAAAAATAAGTCCAAAAAGCACAATTGATTACCTTAATAAGAGCACAATCCAGTAACCCAAAAACATATGACCGCAGCCCAAAGCGCGTGCAATTGTTATCAAGAAAACCAAAAATTTAGTAATATTCATATCCGTATCCATAACTGAATCCATATCCATATCCATATCCATATCTGAAACTATATTTGGATTCACATCGAGTTCATATTTGTATTCATATCCATATTCATATCTGAATCCACACGAGTCTATATCAATATCTATATCAGAATCTGGATAGCCGGACCGTATTTGAAATTTGAACCGTATCCATATTCGAAACAATATCTAACCAAAAATCTGAAACCATATCCAAAACCGTATCCATATCTAACCGGTTTCAAATTTTGGCTACTATATCCGCATCCATTTCAGATATGACTGCGGATCAGATATAACCGGACCATTTTGCACCCCTAGTGACCACATAAAAAGGACCAAAATGAAAATGCACATAATTTTTTGAGCTAGCCAGTATCCAGAATTATGGTTCCAAATCCAAACTACAAGCAATGTCATTTCAATAAGTAGTTTTCAAAATATCCATTAAGTGATAGTGCTAGTTAAATGTGAGCGATAAACAATGGCATATAGGAAATATCCAACTTTTTCTCTCGAAGCAATGTAGTATGGAAGAAAAAGTGGGTAGATAAAGTCAACCTGTAAGAAGAAAGAAGCTGCTTAAATTCTTCCTCAAGCTTCAGTACGGCCTTCGCTAGCAAATTGTTGGCATGATTAAGCAGCCCATCACTGCTCTTCAAGCTTTTGTTGGAGTTAAAGAATCGTACATTAGCCCTCAACTGATCGATCGCCTCCAAGTAGCTTTCAAGATCCTCATGTGGACCCTTCAAAATCTTAGACTCAGCCTACACATTTCAAGAACAAACTAATCACTACCCTGCTAAGACTTTACACAAAAATAAGCCAAACTGAGCTGGGAAACACCATATAGAACATGAGTTTTGACAATTAGGCCATTAAATGAACCAGTTAGGAGACGTTATTATATTATAATTATTGAGGCAAAGAGGACCAGAGATAGGCCTGAAGAATTTGATTCGAAGCAATTAATTTAAGAACAAGATGACAATAGTTAACAGAGAGAAGACTCATAATAGAACTGACTAGAAGGAAATGATTCGTGTAGACGAATCCAAAAGATTGGGATAAAGGTTTTGTTGTGTTGTGGTTGTTGTCGTAGCCCAATTTCGCAAACCCACTCTGATCTACTGTTTACCTCTGCTTGAGGACCTCATTTCAAGTTTTTTTTTTTTTTAACAACTAACTTTCCATATCTTCATGAACCACATCTTTCAAAATCTTAAAATTATAGATGCAAATATTAAAAAAAAAACCACCACGTAAACTCGCATTCATCAAAATGAGAAATTTCCACTCCACAACTCTACTTCAAAATTCACCACATAATTAAACCCAATCAACATGACCAACAACACGTACAGCATGAAATTCATAAGAAAATTCCATTTTCTCATTGAAAAAAAAAAGGTCTAATCTAGGATTAATGTTCAGATTTTTAAAAAAAACAAATAAAACTCAAATTTCAAGCAAAATTTCTACGAACCTGACGCGTGAGATCAAACTGACCGAGAATAACCTCAGCCGACTTAAGCGTCTTATCAATATTCTCATGCGCCCTCCGAATCGCGTGCGTCCGAACCTGATCCAAAATCAAAACCCTAATTCACTTCAACAAACCCTAACAGAACGAGAGTCAGATCGATCTAGGGTTTCAACTGCAGGAGAGATTCAATACCTGAGTCGGTCTCATGGCGGCCTCGAGGGCGGAGAGGCGGTGATCGAAGGATCCAAGGATGGTCACGGTGTTGTCGGTGATGGTCTGGCTCTTGTGGAGAGATTCTCGTAGTAAGTTAGCTCGATGAGTTAGGGTTTCCATTGGGAGAGGTATCCCCATTTTCGATCTCTTTTTCTGTTTCTTCTTCTTCTGATCTCAATGGGCACGAAGAAGACAGTGGTTGGAGCATTATTACAGAAAAACCCCCGTCATTTGCAAAATTATTGTAGAGAAAGACAGGTTAGCAGGGATGAGCTTGGAAAGGTTCGTTAGAAAGAGTAGATTAATTGAATACATATTGGTATGATGGTATTATCGCTAATAAATTGAACCATGGCAGAATTTACATCTGAGAGTAGATTAATTGAAGACATCACTATTAATTGAATCTAATTAAATAACGGAGTATAAATGTAAAGGGTAAAAGTTAAAGTGCATTTTGGTGGTTAGAGATTTTTAATCAAAGAGGGACTCCTTAGGGGATGAGAGAGAGAATAAGCGAGTGATGAACTCACTTTGATTTGCATTAATTTCTCTCATTAGATGTTCTTAGGGAGCACTATCAAATAGTGAAATATGAGGACCTAATATGAAAATACAGCTAATATCTGAACTAATGCCCGCCAACTAATCGCCATGGATCCCCTGTTACGTATTAAACTATGTATTTGCGATTTATTAATGAATTAGTTGGTCCGGAGATTACGTCGCTAACTACTACATGAACTCACATTGGGCCCAAAATTGTTACTCAACAACCGGTTAGTTTCAAACTGGTTATCAACGCTCCTCGATCCATGCAAGGCCCAAAACGCATAAAACTTTTCTTATTGGGCTCCGACAGATTTTATACAGAAGACCTTCCTTAGGGGGGTTTAGTCACCTAGAACTTAAAATTAGAACTGGGATAATCTGTGGGATAAAATTTTAAGGTGTTAGTCACATAGAACTAAATCTAGAACAAAATTTTAAGGTGTTAGTCACATAGAACTAAAACTAGAATAAAATTTTACAGTGTTAGTCAAGCAGAACTTTAACAAAACTAGAATTGGGATAATTGTACAAAATTATCCCACTTTTTTTATTTTTCTATACAAAAATGAGAGTTCTAGTCTCTCAAATTATTCCAAGTTTTAGCTTGGAACTATGTGGTAAAAAACTAGAACTCGTATTTATTTTGTTATTTTTTATTTTTTTCTTTACTTATTTCCTATTATGATTATCACCATCATTAAACCATCATCATAATAATAATTGTCAATATCTTATAGTCTAACCAAAAGTTATTTAATAGTAACGAACATTCTTGTAAGCAATTATCAAGGGTTAGCCACATATTTATTTTTCATAAATAGTATTTATATCTTCAAAATGCATAAATATATACTTCATGATTATAAAAATTTATCTCACGTTATTTTATCAAAATATCCTGCTTCACAAAATTGTTCCTAGTTATCCCACTAAAATATCCCACTAGCGAAATATTATTCCACTTTAACAATTATCCCATTTTGCATGAAAATGTCCCAATTGACTAACACCCCCTTAGGATTTTTCTTTGTTATATTTTTTTTCCGATTCATTGTCATCTCGCTTGAGCTTGGGCACACAACACGTGTGCATCAGCTCTGCACACGTGTTCCTCACTCCTCCCTCTCACATCCACGTAGCAACATGCAAAGGTTTCTCCCACGCATTATAAGTTCAACCTCCCCTTCGCTCATCAACTCATTTAAAGAAAAAGAACTCTGCGAGCTCAAAATCATCTACACCAGCAGCGTGTAGTTAGTGATATATATATACATATTTCTTTTGATAATGTCAGGAGCTCAAGGTGCTCAGCCGAAGGGATCAAGAACGGCGACGACATACGAATCGGTAAGCGGCGGCGAGAACAAGACCAGAACCGAGCTCCGATCAAGCGAGGATGCCGGAATGATCCAGATCGACAAGGTTCAGGACAAAGTTGAGGACGCCGCTGGAAAAGGCGGGCCCGTGTTCGGAGCCGGGAAGGACGAAGGGAAGAAGTCTGACCTTGGAGTCACTGGCACCGGATGAGGATCGCCTTAATGCATGATGATCTGTGAAACTGGATACTTGCTTGTTTTATGTGTGTAATGGTTTGTAATTTAGGGAGATGATGTGGCTCTTGATGTCTTTGTTGGAAATTTGAGAGGAGATGAGAAGATAATATTTTTCTATATTATTCATCAACTAAAAGTGCCTTTATATAGGCTTACAAAACAACTTAATCATCATCAACTAAAAGTGCCTTTATATAGGCTTACAAAACAACTTAATCACCATAAAAATCTAAACTAATTAGCAACAACTCCACTAACAAAATAACAACCTAATAACAAATTTGAATCAGTTATTCAACATTCCCCCTTGATTCAAAATTTCTTGTCATTCCTCTTGAATTTTCATAGAGCACTTCTCTCCATAATTTTGTAAAGCACTTCTCTCTTTACTTTGTGATGCACTTCTCATCTCAATCTTGTTGACGCACATAATCACCAACATTTCTTAAAGGAGCACTTCTCTCAATCTCTCCATGGCGCACATCTCACCATGATTCCTAGAATAAAATTTCTTCTTCAACTGCTTGTGCCAACAAAATAACAACCTAATAACAAATTTGAATCAGTTATTCAACAGTCTTGGTGGTCTGTATTTTCTTGTATGCTTTCCTTTGTGTTAGTGGATGATTCTTTTTTGGCTTTCGATGTGATTTTCATGAATAACAGTCTTTAACCCCTTAACCCCCACCCCCCAAACAAAGAACCCCTGGTTCCTTTAAAAAAACTCTCAAACAAGGTGAACATTTTCCCCTCCATTTCTCTCTCCTTCATTCATTCTGTCCTTCATTCCCCTTATCCCAAAAAAAAGTGCTACATAAGTTCAATGAAAAAGCTCCGAGAGGCTCGATGTATTTTGAATAATAATTAATTAACAAGTTCAAAAATGTGTGTGGGCGTGGGCCGCCCTGGGCGGCCGGCCCATCGGGTTCGCCCGGGTTAGAACCCGGCAGGCCGAGTCTAACCTAGGTCAGAATGGATTAGTTCTTCTTCTCTGATACCGGGCCGAGTCTAACCTAGGTCAGAATGGATTGGTTCTTCTTCTCTGATACCGAGTAGACGTGGCCGGTTTGTGAACCGGCCACAGAGCGAACGTATTGGTGGCTCCCTTCTCATGATACCAAAGTCTGGGAGTAGACGTAGCCGGTTCACACGGGCAGGTCGAGTCTACCTAGGTTTCTCTGATACCAAGTCTGGGAGTAGACGTAGCCCGGTTCAGGCGGCAAGGCGCGAGTCTAGCCTAGGTCAGAAATGGATTGATGCTTCTTCTTCTGATACCGAGTAGAAGTAGCGGGTTGTGAACCGGCCCAACGAGGCGAAACGTATTGGTAACTTCTTCTCTGATACGCGAAGTTCTGGAGTAGACGTAGCCGGTTCAAACAGGAACGTATGGTAGCTTCTCTCTGATACCGAAGTCTGGGAGTAGACGTAGTGCGGTTCACGAACGTATTGTACTTCTTCTATGATAACCGAAGTCTGGGAGTAGACGCTGCGAGCGAACATAGCTGGTCGTGAATCGGCTACCGAGCGAACGTAGCTGGGCTTCGCAACGCCGTCTACGAGCGAAAATATAGCACGCCGTCTACGAGCGAATGTAGGCCGGGTCCACTGACTCATAGTTCACAGTCAACAACAACCGTCTACGACGTAGCCGGTCCACGATCGCGTCTACGAGCGAACGCAGAGTTGATCCATCGTGTTTTCTTGTTTGACCTTTCTTATTTTTTTATTGTTTAAAAACTAATATTAACATTTGTAATTTAATATTTTTTAATTTATATTTAATTTATTTTTATTTCAAACTGCTGTATGTATTATATAATATATATATATATGATAATATATATATATATATATATTATTATAATTATATATATATATATAAGATAATATATAATACTATATATATATTATATATATATATATATATATATATATATAATATATATATAATATATAATATATATATGCGAACGCAGAGTTGATGCCATGTGTTTTCTTTTTGACCTTTCTTTATTTTTTTATTTAAACTATATTAACTTTGTATTTATATTTTTAAAAATTTATATTTAATTTAAATTTTTAATTCGAACTCTTTATATATATATATAATATATATATATATACTATATATATACTAGTATATATAAATTATATATAATATATATAATATATATAATATATTAAACATTATATAATATTAAGGGAAAAGTGAATCTAAGGTGACACCCTATGCTCCCACCTAAGGACGCGGCCTAGAATCACATCATTTCCTAAAAAAAATTTCGATCCGCTCCATTGAACTTGATCTACACGTTTTTAAACCCAAACACACCAATTTTGGGGTGAACACGTTGTGTTTTGACCATTCGTTGAGCCGTGCAAAAAGTTCTATTCATTCGAAACCGTTAAAATTACAGCGAATGGATAAAGGGTCAAAACACGACGGGTTCACCCTAAAATTGGTGTGTTTGAGTTTAAGAACGTGTAGATCAAGTTTAACGGAGCGGATCGTAAAAAAATAGGAAATAATGTGATTCAAGGTCGCGTCCTTAGGTGGGAGCCTAGGGTGTCACCTTAGATTCACTTTTCCCATATATTAAACATCTTAAACATTATATATATTAAACATCTCACAGAAAAACATGGCAAATATAAAAATTATATCCAAGTCGAACTTTGAAGGAATACCTAACTGTGGCTCATTTATATTTTGCTAAACAGAGTAATATTTTTATAATTAACCTCGGGTCGGGGAGAGGTGGGTCGGTTCAGGTCATTGGTGGGTCAATCCTATTTCTTTGATCTCGGGTCTGGGTTAAAACTCAATCTTGCCTATGAACCACCACCTATGTGGGCTGGGTTGGACCGGCCTAATGTGGTCAGGTTGGGTTTAGACCCAACCCGAGCTGGGTTGGTTCGGCCTAAGATTCGAACCGTCCTATGCCCAATCCCACTTTACGGCATAAGTTTTTTTAAAAATATCTAAAAAAAGGCAAGTGATATTTTTATACTTATTAAGGGCTTATATCTTAAAATGGCCCAAACTTCGTGGTCGTTTTGTAAAATTTACCCTTTCTCATTCACAGTACCTTAGTTCCTCATCACTGTGCAAAAACTGTTTTGGGATTTGTCATAAAGCAAAGCCGGAATAACAGAAGAGTATTTATATTTTTTTAATTGGCTTTAGAAATTTGTGGCTGCTATGATTTACTCTGAATTATTATTCGATATCATTTTAAAATTTCTGTTACATAATAGTAGTTTATATTTTTATATTCTAACACTGTAAACATCATTCTCGCTATAAGGAGGCCCAACAAGAACAAAGAAAAACAAAAGATCTCCACATGAAAGACCCATTTTCAGCAAATAATCACCAAGATATGTATATTAATATACAATACACAACACCAGAGTAAGCTATACTTCATTAATAGTAGCTGTTATTTTTTTACAAGACATAGAAGTCCCCATACAATAAAATCAAGCATTTAATATCTTTCAAGTAAAACAAAAAAACATAACAAGAGGGAAGAAGGGGTGAAAGATAAAACTCCAAGTCCTACTACAAATTTAAAGACAATACCAAGGCTGCTCCTTCTCAGTAACCAAAAAAAAACTGGAATAAGCTCCACCACTGCAAACTCCCTCAACCTATTGAAAATCTAAACTGAACAAGAAAGCAAGGCAAGCTTTTGTTAGGCATGAACACTGTTACCATTAGCATAGTAGCTTCCATTTTTTATTCTGATTTTTGCATTGCCATTTTCGTAGGGTTTTGGTTTGATATTTCTTGGCACTGGGGACTTGCTAGCAACGGTAGTGAGATTATTTTGTAGCCAGGCATCCAACTGTCCACATGAAGCCTTAATGAAACCTGTAAAAATATGTATACAGTGGGGCTTAATAAACAGAACACTCTGCAGATAGAGAATGCACATGCAAAATATGAAGATTCGGATGACTAATTTCAAATATGAAAGATCGATTTGGGGGACTAATTTTAAAATATCAGGAAAAAAACACAAAACTTCCATATAAGTAAGACATTACCAAAGAAAAGTGGTGAAGGTTTTCCCGGTCTTGATTTAAACTCTGGGTGAAATTGGACTCCAACGTAATAAGGATGACCAGGCAGCTCAAGAATCTGCATCAAACAGTAGTATATTACTTCCAACACATTAAATAAAATCAAATATAATGCCCTGCTCACAAAATCTGAGAAAATATAAGGAAAAAAGCATAAAATTTTCAGGTTTACCTCCATGCGATTTCCACTTTCATCTTTGCCAACAAATGAGAGGCCAGCATTTTCCAGCTTTGATACCATGTCTGGATTTACCTGTAAAGGATATTTAAGATATAGATCATCATATAAAACCATATAAAATTCAACTGATACATATAAAGCCCCTTTCGGTATCAACTACAATTGTAACTCAACCAACCTCATATCTGTGTCGATGACGTTCATCTACATACTTGACACCCCCATACCTATCAAAAGTTCGAGAACAGAGATAAGTTTTTGTAATCAAACTTGAGAACTTTGAAATGCCAAAAGTTCAATGAAAATGTACTTACAATTTTGCAGACTTGCAGTCTTTAACTTGGAAATGTGTTCTTCTAGCCCCCAGTCTCATTGTAGCCCCCATATGAGTTTTCGAACCCTGCAAATTTCACACAAAAGTTATTTAGTAGGATATTGCAAAAAAACTTTTTGAAGGATGATAAAAGAGCAAATTCTACCTCTGGCATAAATATGACACATGGATTCTTTGCATCCGGATCAAATTCAGTGCTATTAGCATCTTCCAAATTCATCATTGAACGAGCATACTCAATGACAGCAATTTGCATACCAAGACAAATGCCGAGAAATGGAATGTTATTTTCTCTAGCATACTTTGCTGCCAGTATTTTCCCTTGAACCCCTCGATCACCAAAACCTCCAGGAACTAGTACACCATCTGCACCCTGAATCAAACAATAAATAAATAAATAAATCATATGATTACAAGAGGTATCAAAATTTATCTACAGTGCAAGAGCAAAAAAAGATCCTTCTTACCTTTAATAGACTCCATGCTGCTTCATAAGAATCGGGTGACTAATAAAATTAAATAATTTCTATTCGTTAATACAAGAATGAACAAGAAAATACAATATGATAATGAGAAATCATTCAGTAAATTTACGGACCTCTTCTTTGGTTGAATCTTCAAGGTCAGAAGCAGGAATCCAATCCACTACAAGTTTCTTATAGCACGCAACAGAAGCATGCAAGAGGGCCTAAAAATGGTTCATATACGCCAGCCAATCAACAATTGCAATATTTGGAACCAAGAATTTCTGGTAGTGAGCCCGTTAAATTACAAACAAAAAAACTTACAATTACATGCTACTAAATAACATGCATGCGTCAGAAAATCACCTTTAAAACAGATAGGTAAGAATCGGAAAGACCAGTGTACTTTCCAACCATAGCAATCCTCACCTGAAAATTACATAGCAAGTTACTTCGAAGTCCTCAGAGCACAAATCATGAAATGAAAACTTCAAAACAAGTGAAGTAGACCCACAGGATCACGCAGTGTATCACAAAGTTTTGCCCTAGCTGTCCATCCATCCAAATTGAGATATCGAGCGGTGCTGTAAACAATAAAGCAAATTTTACTCAATATTAGATTCAAGAGATGGAAATAAAAGAGTATTCTTAGACAAATTTTACTCAATATTAGATTCAAGAGATGGAAATAAAAGAGTATTCTTAGACAAACCTTTGAAGGTTCAGTACTTTTAATATTGATTCATGTGCCTTCTGCTCCTACAGGGATCAAACACAACAGGAAAGAAATGCTTGATTTAAGAAAAGTAAAGTTTCGAAACTAAAGGTATTATGAGGGGAAGAATCCTACTTTTAGCAGCAAAGGTATGTGCCAGATATTTGTGACATCATAAAGAGTAATGATGTTGTCAGCCTGCAAAATTTGAATGTATCAGAAAGGCATTACACATAACACAATAAATATACTTTCAAAACAGAAAAGAAATCTTTTCTCAAAAAAGAAAGAAAGAGAGAAATTTGGTTGTATTACCGAAACATGGCAAAACCTCGAGAGTTTCTCCATTACATTTTCATCCAGTGCCTGTTTCCATAATTCACACAAACATATCATAAGCAACTGCAATTTATTAAATTAATCAGGAAGTTGGCAAAGCAAGAATTGACTGGGAAAGGAAAGACAGAGACCGATGAACTGCGGCAGGCCAGAATGTTTGGTGTCAACCCAAGTCCTCTAAGGCCACGAACGCTATGCTGAGTTGGCTTAGTTTTCTGCGTGAAAAATGTTAAGTTAAACCAAGCACCACGTTGGAAAAATGAAAAGCTCGACAAAAGATAAATTTTAGGGGAAAAAAATTACAGTAAATCCCCCTAAAGTTTGTATGAATGACAGAAATGTTAAGTTAAAACTAACACTTTCAGTCCTCTTTTTTATTTTTCCATCAAACAGGGTCCCATGGGGTATCATATGACCCGCCTGAAGACAAAAGTGCCATTATCTCTTTTCTTAAAGGATGGGGTGAAAATGTTGGTTCTATAATTTCAGGGGGGGTTTCTGTCGTTCCAGTAAACCTCAGGGGGTTTCTGTAATTCTCTCTAAATATTATTTTACAGAAGAAGACTTGACCGATACATACCTGTTCGCCAACTACATTTAAAACTGGCACAAGGCTGACATGAACCAGGCAGAAATTACCAGGACCTAGAGCGGAAAAAAAAAATTTACATACAATGAAAAATCATCAGAAAATAAATTCAGTAAATAGCAAGTGGAGAGATTACTCACCTACACTGTAGGAAAATTGTCCCAATGCTTCAATGAAAGGCATTGATTCTATATCCCCTGCATCAAGAATTCCATTGTTGTTATGGCGTACAAGGATTGTGGATCCTGCATCAAATGCTTAGACAACTATGGGAAGTACCATGACAATTTTTTCACTTCAAAAATAATATACAGAGTAAGAATTATCCATTTATTCAAAATAATAATAATAATAAACAAAGAAACCACCATAGTCACCTATAGTCCCTCCTAGTTCTATAACACAAACATCAGCAGGTCCTTCTCCGCCATCCACAGGTACCTTGGCAACTCGTTCAATCCATTCTTGTATTGCATCAGTAATGTGTGGCACGACCTTTAAAAGAAAAACAATGAAACAAGTTTAGGATAAAAACATTTTTCTATGTACAATTCATCTAAAAAGGACCAAATTTTTGTATAACGTACCTGAACTGTTTTCCCCAGATAATCTCCTTTTCTCTCCTTATCAATGACGGTCTATCATCAATCATATCACCAAATGGAACGCATATTAGTATATTACTAAGGCATAATTACCGCAAGCAAGAATTTCAAATAATATATTCAATACAGATAAGGACTACTGTGATACCTGATAAATCTTTCCCGTAGTAATGTTGTTATCACGGGTTAATTTAATGTCCAGAAATCTTTCGTAGTTGCCGAGATCCAAGTCCACCTTCAAAACAAAGAATATTTTTATATACATGGATATACTTGAGACCTCTTTTACAAAATAAGAAAGCATATAACTTGGATTTTCCCATGTATGGTCAAAAACCTGTGACATCATAAGGCTGTTTGGATAATCTTAAGTAAGAAGAAACAGTTTGTCAAGAACTAAGCATAACGCTAAAACAAGATACAAGTATAGCACAATGTTTAGACGCTACAATGAACAATAGGCCAAACATTAAATCATAAAATAGTAAGATGGTAACTGGTAAAAAAAATTATCCAAATGCGTATGGATAAAAAAATTTGCAGTAAAAAAATTACAGACACAAAACACAAATACGAAGGCTTAGAGGTTTTTTCTTACCTCACCACCATCATCTAAAACAAAAACTTCTCCATGCTCACATGGCGACATTGTTCCAGCATCAGTGTTCAAATATGGATCTGCATTTGTCAATGGGACCAAACAAGAATCGTCTTCATGATACAAACCACAAAAGAAAGATTTTTTTTTTTTTTTTTTTGAAAAGATAAAGTGAAAAGTTTTAGTAAAACCCTGTCTTCGAAATTGACAATATGGTATCATAGAGCCGGTTACTTCTAAGTGCAACCCTATTGACAAAATAACTATAACAAGGATGAAGCAAGACAGGACGTCAAAGAATATCAGTTTTCTCCATTCAATAGATTTTTTCTACTTTTACCCTTTTGTTTTGACAAAAAGTTTTCTCCATTCAATAGTTTAGGCTTCATATAAAATTTAAGGATTTCTAATCTCTCTTTTGTAGCTGTGAGTATAATTTTATCAAGAACAAGAGCAGAATAATGAATCTATAATAGCTATTCATCATTCTGCTCTTGTTCTCGTTAAAATTATTCTCACAGCTACAAAAGAGAGATTAGAAATCCTTTAATTTTATATGAAGCCTAAACTATTGAATGGAGAAAACTTTTTGTCAAAACAAAGGGGGTAAAAGTAGAAAAATCTAAGGGTCAAAATAGAGAGAGGAAAAAGGAAATGCCAACCAACTCCAACGAAAGAAATGTCAAAACAATGGAAGATGACCTAGATTTTGAAATACCAGAATCTTGAAAGAAAGAAACAAAAGCCTTCTTCTATTTTCATAAAAATTTGAACCTTTGATTCAAGGTCACAACGTTCCAACCAAAGCAACCAAAATTCTTATAATACTTTTCTCTTGAATTACATGATTATTTTTCGCTCATCGAAATGGGGACACTTTTCATCAATCCAGAACCAATAAAACTACACGGTGCAAATTCGTGAGCGGCCCGAATTGTGCTCTAAAAGGAGCACTCCGAGATGAAATACTGAAAGGTTTAACAAACAAAAAGTATAAGGGAGAAATAAGAGGGAGAGAATTGAGAACTTGTTCACTTTTTGAAGATATAAACATCAAAACAATAGCCAAGACATGAAGAACTTTTTTAATTATGTGCACCCATCAATATCATAATGTAACAAAGATACTGCAAGTCATGTTAAAGCAAGGTAACTTTTGGCAAGTAATGGTACAGAATAACCAAACTAACCACCTAGTGAACAATAATCATGAACCCAGCATCTTCATTGTCTCTGCTTTTTTCCCCCTTTACTTGAGCTTAAAACAACTTTATAGTACATAAAATAGCAAGTCAGGTACGTTCTCAATAAATAAAAATGTCGTAAGAAGCTAAAATATACATTAAAAAGGTACAAGTATTGCCCCCAAATCAAGAACATATCATGATTCTCCATCTGAATGGCAAACAAAATTACAAATCCATCATCTTTCACTGTTTACTGACCTTTTTGTACATCTATCTAAAAACCACTTTCATTCAGTAAAATTTGTACAAATGTAAATCCTAATTCCCATTAAAAGGGAGAAAATCAAGTGCCATAATCCAAAAATCTAATGTAAAGACAAACAAAAAAAAATGGAATGAACAGCAAACCAGTACCCAAAAGATCCAGAATTTGCCACACCCGCATCAATTAAAACACCAAAAAAAACCCCTAAAAGTCTCAGCAATGAGAACCCATTTCAAAAAAATGCATCTTTAAGAGGAAAATAGCTCAAAATACCAATTTTGATGGAAGTAACTCGAAGCCCACAAGCTTTGAGAACAACCCCGATACTGCTCGCCGTCACTCCTTTGCCAAGCCCGCTAACTACACCTCCAGTTACCAATACGTACTTCATATTTTTCAAAGGTATTTGAGATTGCAAGTGAGAAGATAAATGAAGAACAGTATAGCGTGTTTGTTTGAATGAGGAGTAATGGAGGCGAATAGAATGAAGAGGATGGTGGGAGGTTGAGGGGATTAAATACCCCTCGTACCCCCGAACCTCTTCCCTTTTCCCCTTTTTGTCTCTTCTTCTCTTTCTTTAGTCCAAAAGTCTCATCTTTGTTCTTCCCTTTTTACCCTTTTATCTCACTGTAAATGAAATAATATGATATTTTTCAGTTCTTATTATCACTTATTCCTTTTCTCTCATTTTACAAAATATTTTAAAAAGGATAAATTGTAAGAATCGGGGACATTTTCATAGTAAAAGACCGAGAACGTATTATGTCAAGGGTGCATGCATTGAAAGCTTGAAGGTTGCTCTTGGAATTGACAAGTGTATTAATTGGTCCTAGAAAATAGTCAAGGAAAGGGCCATGAAAGGGTGTGTGCTAATGTGGAGATAGGCTTCATGGAGCTTTTGGGTCCGGGCCGGACAGTGAGCCAGGTCCAAGCCCGAAGCCCATTTGGACAGCCCTATCGGTGGGCTAGTTGAGAGATGTGAAATGTGTGAGGGTTTCAAGGTTCATTCATCGTAAACTTGTATCTATTATATCACTTGTATTGATTTGTGAAGATAGTAAATTTTCCTGCTAAGAGAAACATGGATGTAGGTAATATTTGTTGGATTTTTTTGGTCAAAACCACTTTCCAAAATAAGTTTTCAAACTATATATATATATTAACTACAAGTACTTTTCATAAATGCTTAGTAGCTTAGTGGAAAATTTATGTTTTGACGTTTCAAAAGGTTATTTATTCGAGTCTTGCCAACGGCAAGCCGAGAAGTGTTTTATTTGAATTAATCTCTCATAAGTTCTAGTGGGTCGTGGGCCGTGGGTCAGGAGCCGTGGGCCAATGAGCCGGAGATCGGGGCTAATCGGACTGAGACGCTAAGTAGCGCTTTGTTAGGCGTACTTTGCACTTCGCACGGAGACATCGAGGCGAGGTGGCGCCATGTTGGCTGCCACTATGGTCGCCACAGAGATTGCTTCGCAGGCTGCTTTGCAGCATGCGGACGAGCTACGTATTCGCACGAGGGTGTGACCCTAGCGTTCTCGTAGTTTGACAAGGTTCGCTCGTTCGACGAGGTTCGTCTATCATACGAGGTTCGCCTGTATGACGATGTTCGTTTGTTCAACGAGGTTCATCTGTCATACGAGGTTCGCCTGTTTGACAATGTTCACTCGTTCGACGAGGTTCGTCTGTCATACGAGGTTCACCTGTTTGACGAGGTTCGCTCGTTCGACGAGGTTCGTCTGTCATACGAGGTTCGTCTGTCATACGAGGTTCGCCTATTTGACGATATTCGCTCGTTCGACGAGGTTCGTCTGTCATACGAAGTTAGCCTGTTTGATGAGGTTCGTCTGTCATACGAGGTTCGCCTGTATGACGAGGTTCGTTTGTCAAACGAGGTTCGTCTGATTTGTTGAGTCGTGACCCTCGCGTTTCGTAGGAACGCGTCCATTGATTGCCTCGTATTCAGGAGTTACTGCATGCAGCATTTATAATAGCATTTAGAGCAATTTAATGCATTGATGTTACAATCTTAATTGTCATTGAGAATTATAACATTCACATTAATTGTGAATGACTCTTGAGGTGGTCTTAGAGGCCTATAAATAGCGCCCTTGGGCAGCTCATGAATATACACTCTCGCGAGCGTGGAATACGAACGTCGGTATACACACGCGAGCTTGGAAAACGAACGTCAGATTGACGTTGTTGTTGTTGTTGTTGTGCTGCTGCTGCAGAAACTGTGTCCGTAGGAACTTGCCCTTGAACCGAAAGGTTTTGAGCCGAAAGGTTCTGAGATCGAGGAGATCTTTGTCTTGACTGAAAGGTCTTATAGATCGATGAGATCTTGACAGTACTGGGTTGGTGCACACCAGAGTACTGCATTGTTGTTCATGTAAGCAGTTTGGTCTTGGGATCATTGTACCGGAGTAGGCCAAATATTGCTTTAAGCATAGCGTTTCACAAACGCACAACAGTTAACTGAAAAAAATTAAAATTACAGCACATCATCATTCACTGTTTTATTCCAGATTTAACCATAATTTCTAACAATATTTAGTCGAATCACGTAAAAAGCTCTTCTTGTTGTCTTGGTGCTTGTACTCCTTATAATTTTGCGTGCAGTTGTTTATGAGCCCGATATTAAATAATCCCCAACGGTTAGGTGGATATATAGGTTTGGTAAGTTGTTGTTGTTGTGGTCGTTGTTGTTGTTGCTATCATTATTTGTTTGGATAAACAAGATGGATTTACGAAGATATTTTAAGTGGATAGACCAGATATGAAGACCCTTTAACAACAGTACCCTAGTTCTACTTAGGTTACATCTTACCTTAATTTGTCCTTCGAAATGCGGACTTGGGCCATTTGGCTTTTATATTAGCCTTTTCGGAGGTGAAGTGGTAGACTATTTAGGTCGGTCTTATTAGAGCACTTCCAACGGGACAAAAAGTTAGTCAAAACCGTCCAATTTGTCGGCTTTAATTGGCTTATTCAATGGCTAAACGTGAGTTTGATTGATTAGTAAGTGGTATTGATAGTAAAAATTAATGAAAATAGGCTATTTAAATGGCAAAATGGCCAGATTGGTATATTTTGTAGAGGCTTGGTGACAAATTGGTATATTTTCTTTTAGTTTTGTCAGATTGGTATATTTTCTCAACTCCGGCGTCATATAGACCTTAAATTTGGCCGGAGTTACTGTTCCGGCCAGTGCTGATGGGATTTTTTGCAAAAAAACCCTCATCAAATACAGTTTCCTGCTCCTACCCCCTCTCCCTCCTCCTCCTCATCCTTTTCAAACTCCCCCTCTCCCTCATCCTTCTCATCCTCTCCCTCCTCCTCCTCCTCATCCTCTTCAACCTCCCCCTCCTCCTCTTCCTCCCTCCTCCTCCATTCGCAACAAACCACCACCAAGCCAAAACCCTAGACTAAACCATAAACCAATTCACAGAGTACAGTGTAGTAGCAATCAAGAACCCATCAACTGCCACAATCTCGCCTGTAGTGTCCATGATGATGTCCTACTCTGAAGCGGGGATCACCGATATCTTCGTTATCCGATGGCACATGTGCTTAAAACCTTGACATCGAGGGCCGTCGAAAGACAATCGGAGGAAGCTGATGAAGCTGGAGTTGTCACCGGAGGGGAAGAAGAGCCTGGCAGCGAAGAGATCGGAGCGGGAACGGAGGGCGCAAAGGTGGTTGCTAGCAATGGGGTCGGTGGCGGGAGAGAAGGAGCAGAGAACATCGGCCGCGAGGGCGGAGTAGGAGGAGGAGGGGAGGAAGGAGGAGGAGTCGATGAAGGAGTTGACGGCATCGAGGACGGAGGAGGAGGATAGAGGCGGAGGGATTTGGAGGGAGGGGAGGAGAGATAAAGTCGGCCACAACACACATACTGCTTCGACCACTGTAGGTTTTGCAGTTGCTAATGCTAATCTGTTCGGTTTTGCAAATGGAACTGCTCGAGGAATGGCAACTCGAGCCAAGTTGGTTATCTACAAAGCTTGCTGGGGATTCTATGGATGACCGGTCTCTGACATAGTTGCTGCCATCGACGCTGCAGTCAAGGATGGTGTTCATATCCTCTCTCTGTATCTTGGTGTAGGACCTGAAGAATTTGATGTTGATGTTGTCGCTATCGCCACGTTTGCTGCTATTCGCAATGGCATATTTGTCGCATTTTCTGTAGGCAATAGCTGGCCAGATGAAGGATCTCTCGTTAACATTGCTCCGTGGATCACGACGGTCGACGCTGGATCAATCGATCGCAAGTTCCCTACGCGTTTCACGCTAGGGAGCGGTGAAGTCTACATTGGACAATCTTTATATCAGCAATCACCAAACTTTACAGGATTTGCTCCTCTTGTTTATGTGCCGCAATGTTTGATGTCTGATACAGAAATAACACAACTCGTCAAGGAAAAGATCCTCGTATGTGAAAATGCATTTGTTGAGCTCGGTATGAAAGTGGCTAAATCCAGAGGTGTCAGTCTGATCAGACTCAATGGCAATTATAGCGGCGAAGGAGTTATCGTTAAAGCATTCACATTGCCAGGTTTGACATTAGGCTACTTTGAAGCACAGAAGTTGATCAAATACATAAACTCAACCTCAAATCCAAGAGCTTCGCTTCAATTCGATTACCAAACTGTTATCAGAGAAACCCGAGCTCCAACAGTCGCTTGCTTCTCATCGAGAGGTCCTAACTTTATCCAGCCAGAGATTCTCAAACCTGATATTCTTGCTCCAGGCATGAACATCCTTGCTTCTTGGCCTACTGAAACTCCTCTAACTAGAAGCTTGAAAGATTTGAGATGTGCAGGCTTCAACATAATCTCCAATACTTTGATGTCCTATCCTCATATCGCTGGTGTCGCTACGCTTCTCAAAGCATAACACCCAAATTGGTTGCCAGCAATGATTCGATCAGCGATGATGACCACAACGTTCCCACTCGACAATAGCTATCGCCCAATTTTCCTCGACGAAAACCTAAAGCCTGCGAATGCACTAGCAATCGGTGCATGCCATGTCGATCCCGAGAGGGCGAAAAATCCAAGGCTGGTGTATGACCTAGGAGTATAGGATTACATCAATTTTCTCTGCACAATGAATTACACCGAGACACAAATTAAGAAGTTCATGCCAGAGCCAAGCTCGTGTTCGAAATTTGGAGGAGGCGTGAGAGATCTCAACTACCTGTCTTTCGTGGCGATATTCGACGCAGAGACAAAGGAGAGGATGTTGACGAGGACCTTGACGAAGGTCTCGGAGCTGCTCGAGATGAACTCGCTTCCATCGCAAAGAATGGGCAGAGGTGGAGAGGGCCGAAGGAGGAGGAGGAGGAGAGGAGGGAGGGGGAGGAGAAGATTGAGGGGATTGGGAAGAGGGATGAGGAGGGAGGAGGAGGGAGAGGATGAGGAGGATGAGGGAGAGGGGGAGGTTGAAGAGGAGGAGGAGGAGGAGGAGGAAGAGGGGGTAGGAGCAGGAAACTGTATTTAATGAGGGTTTTT